TTGATTAGATCAGAGGAGGAGTGCGAAAGTAGTTCCGTTGGAGAGGACGAATTGCCTTGGAACCCTCCTAAAGGTTTAGTTTCTGAAGGGCAGCTGCGGTTAATGCAAGAACAATCATCATCAGTCAAGTTTTTTGTTCAATCTTAATTCTTTGGTCAGCTCAGAAGCCTACCTCTTGCCGATAGGCAGAGGTAACTTAACTTATGAGTTTTTGGGGTGATTGGAGTCTCAAATTGTGTTAAGTTTTGGATTTCTTATGATTGTTCTATATCAATTAGGCTTCCTGGTGTCCAAGTTTTTCTCTTAACCCTATAAAGACAAGTGTTGTAGCTTTTTAGCAGAGCTAGAAGTTTTCTATTGTGCAGCTACACTGATTCTCAACTATCACACACCACCACCATGGTTGTGTTACTAGTTTCTATGTTAAAATATGATTGGACGATATGATTTATAATCGATATAAATAATATATTATGTGCTTAGAAATCATTTATTATAAACAAAAATTAATGTACGTACACATCATGTCTTTCATCGAATCTGTGATTTCAAGGAAGAAAGTAAAGATAAGTATTTATGTGACACGAGATTATTTAATGTAACGCATGACACGTCATGTGATTGAACTTAAATAATAACGTAAAAAAATACGTAACACCTGATGATGACTTGGTACGTGTTACACGTGGCAGCAGCAGACAAAACGCCGTGTGCATTATATCTTCTTCCTCAATCCTCCGCAGACTCAGTCGCCTTGTCCCTTTTTAAGTTTTGACCATTACCCTAAACTCCTCCTCAGCTTCAAACTTTGAATCAAAAGCTCTCAACAAACCCAAACCCAAATTCGAACCTCAGCTAATATTCAAATCCCCAAATTCCGAAAACCCAAAATCCAAATCCAGTTTTCAGAGCACAAAACGAACCAATCAGAGAACCAGCCATGGCGTATGTGGATCACGCGTTTTCGATAACAGACGAAGACATGATGATGGTGGACTCTTACACAGTCAACAACAAGCCTCCCATCAAAGAGATCGCTCTCGCCTTCGCTCTCCTCATCACCGGCACTCTCGGCATTGTCATCGGCGGCCTCATGGCCTACAACCATGTCGGCGGCGACAAAGCTCACGGTACCCTCTACCTTACTAACCCTAACCCTAAAAACCCTCTTGTTTAATTTTATTTTCAATTTTTCTTAATTTTGGGGTATTTTTTCGATGATTTCAGGCTTATTCTTTGCGATACTTGGGGCGATCTTGTTCCTTCCGGGGTTCTATTACACGCGGATTGCTTACTATGCTTATAAAGGTTACAAGGGCTTCTCTTTCTCCAACATTCCACCTGTTTAGCATCTCCTTAGCTCTGCTTCAACTTCACATGTACAGATCTCTTCTTCGTTTTTTAGTGTTTTCTTGTAATGGGTTTTATTTTATAAAATTTTTGTTCATTTTTAACAATGCTTATGATATATACTGGTTGTTCTTAATAGAGGGAGAGCTTGTTAAGCTTAAGTGTACTCATTATCTGGCCAAATAGTGAACTTGTACTCATCTTGTGTTACATCATCTATGTAGTGGAAACACTCAACTTTCATTATGAGTAAATAAAAAGAGCTGTGTTTTTTCTAATTTAGCTTGAGCCATACGCTCCTTTCCGGTTTCCATTTATTTTTAAATTCATTGTGCAATTTGTTTGCTTGAATTATATGAATAAAGGTACAGCCAAATGCCAATACATATGATTTTCAGGGGAAGCTAAACTGTTGTGTTGTGTGACTTTTCTTGTCTCTAGGTTTGGGTTTTATGTTTGTTGAGTTACTTTAGCATTATGGAGGGAACTTGGAAATTAGACTTTCGTCCAGCTGGAATACCTTAGATATTTTATCTTGTATTCCTTTTCGGTTGAATGCAAACTTATGATGACATTATGATTGTTAGATAAATGATTTCTGAACATGGGTAGTGATGAACCATTGTGTTTCTGTAAGACCTTTGTTGGCAGTAAACTTGTTCAGTGCACTGTTTCTTTTGCTAGCGCGTTGTGGATGAGAGTGTTAATCTTTGGATTGATATTTTCTAAATATATAATGATCTAACTACTTTTGTTGAAGTTTGGACATGTTGAAGCTTGAAGAACATTGTTCATTAAGAAAACTTTTTTCACGTTTACTAATGGGTAGAATAGAAGTTTAGCAAAAGCATAACAGTCCTATTGCTTCAAAAGAGATAAGCATAACAAAATGGAGTGGTATATTCATATCCTAACATATGAACAGTAAGAAAGAGCATTCTTATTGAAACTAGAACTCATTGGAGACGAAGTAGATTTATGGTGGAAGCAAATATGCGATAGTTACAAAAAGAGACATAACAAAGTTGTGAAAGAAATGAAGGTGAGATCATGTAAAGGTTTTGTGTGCAGAGATATTAGTGCTGAGAGAATTAACTCTCATATCATTTTAAACAGTATATGCAATACATAATCTTTGAGGCTGAACTGTTTCCGAGAGAATGGATTCGTGTCTGTTGCGTGTGTGGGCACGTCTGTAGCATGTGTGAACTGAACATGTGGTGTAACGTTGATATATTTTGTATTGATCCTTGGTCCTAGTATGTGAGCTTAGTTATGAGATCACTACAGAGCAAAGCCTATGGGTTATCCATTCCAGAAGTTTCATTTATTAGTAGGGTTAAACTTGCTATGTCAATAGTTTGGGCTTATGTGACATTGTTGTTCAAGCATATGAGAATCCTCATTTCCTTAAGTATTTAAAATGAGGAACACAAAACGAAACATTCAGAGAGGAATTTTTGAGCAATTGAAGGAGTGGTTCTACCCATATAACATTTGTTGGGTTTAAAACAAAAAGGGGGGCAGGTATAAGATTACAGAATTTCTGTTTGAGAGGACAGGAAAGATAATTGCATCAAACCTGATGTATTTAAATAAAGTATGATATATTTACTTATTCTCACGGCCTTGTTGTGTTACTGCCCTATTTGTATTGATTGGCTATGTTGCTTGTTCTGTTTGTGCTTCGTAATTTAATTCATGGACACAGTTCTAAGGTTAGTTCCCTAGGCTTATTTGAGTAGTTTATTACATCAATGTTCCAATTTCCGTTTTCCCCTGTATTTTTCTTTCCGTTTTCAACATTAGGTAAGGATTTGGTTTGTCAATGAGGCAAAGTAGTTCTAGCAACTTGTTTTCCTCTGGTGAGAATGATGTATGAGCAATAAGAAAAGCGGCTGATAATGAAATGGAAAGAAAGGTCTCCCAGTTGGGTTGGACCAGTTCTCATCGATGACATTTGTATGGGTCTCTAAGGCCCGCCATATTTGTATGGATGATTAATATAGTGTTTTTGGGATTCTTAACCCTCGTATTTTAACCCCCCCAAAACAAAAAGAAAGCAAGGTGAAACTGTAATTATAATATAGTAAATTATATGTGAAGGTGCTTGAAAAATCAGTACTTTGGAGCCACTGAAGTCACCCTTCAAGCTTGCTTTTTCTTTTTAGGGGTCAAAATTAAAGCTTGCTTCACGAACAAGAATGCAGGGTTTCAGGGATTGCTTTATAGTAAAGGATTTGTTTAGCTGGAGAGTGCTGCATCTGTTTCAATAAAAAATTATAATAAAAAAAAGATTTATCGTTTATTAGAAATGTATTGGAAACTGTTTACCTTCACTTCCACACAGTATCAGTAGGTAATTTTTAATCATTCATATCTGTAATTAGAGTTACTCTCCCCTCTCTATAAGAGGGATCATCCACCTTAGGGATGGATGTCTGAAACTAGTGAAAGCCTGATTGCAGTATTCAGCTAGCCGTCAGACGGCTGGAGATGTAGTTTTGTCCATGACGTTTTACGATTATAACCAAGTCTACCTATTGGGTTGCTAACTGGTGCAGTATATGGATGAGAGATGCACAAATTCTTGAACATGGGCAGGTCAGTCAATGTTTTTGATGAGCTATATTGGAGGGTAGATTACGGATGTTTTTTACATGATTATATGTGATATTTTATCAAATTTCTGTCTCTCACACCTGTCTCAGCCCTGTATGAGTGTTGGTAGTGTGGAGATCAAATTTTCTGTTTTCCTTTTAAAAGATGTTGGCAAGTGTTGGTAGGAAGAAGCTGTCCAAGTGAATGGTTATTTGTGCTTGAAGGGTTTGAAGTACGTTGGAAAAGATGCGTCTGGTGTGCGGAATTTATTTATTTATCGATAAGTTCGCGAATTGAAACAGTTTGAATGAATGATTGAAAGACCTGTGAACTGATTACAGTTCAATGAACTTGTTTGTTTGATAGTGGAATTCAATGCAATCATTTGTTCTCAAATGGATTGTTGAAAGAGCAGGACAGCTATTTATGAATTTAGCAACCCGTAACCACTCTGCCGGGATGGGCAAGAAAGCAACATTTGACGAGGACCCATGTTTGTGTCGACCGATTAAGAGAGTATTTTATCTACTTTCCAATCATTTAAAATTTGTTATCATGTCTATTCTAAGTGTTATTATATTATTGGCTTCATTCTTATCGTTTTGAACTAATCATGTAGCTAGCTAGAGATAAAGATGAACTACAAATCATGTAACCACACAACCCTACTTTCGAAGAAATAACAAAGTGGGGATGGCAAAATGGAATTGGACAAATGGACGATGGCTTGGATATGGTCATTAGATTATGCGCCACTTCTAGGAAGATAAAGAAAAGGGTCATTCAAGCAATAATTGTGGACAAAGTGGAGATAAAAAAGGGGGACACAATAGCAAAATAATTGTTCAGGTTCAGTTTTTTCAACTTGTTGGATCGACCATTGACCATTTTCATGGATGAGTGATTTCTCCTTTTTGCAAATCATAATTTATATAGAAATGGCTCATCAAAGACACGAAGGAAATGTTTAGCATATATCTCAAACTGCAAACTGTGATTTACAGGTAAGTAGGATGACTAGGGAATAATCCAAGCATTTTTCCGATTGCTTGGCTATTGTTACTGCCCCTCAGTCACAAATATGTAAATGTGCAAGATAACATAACACAGAAAGCACCATTCAATAATAATATCTATATTTATATGTATATATACAAAAGTTGTCGGATTTTTCTATCGATTCTGTCTCTATGTATCGGTATTATGTCGGTGTGTTTTGTTATTGACATATTATCGATAATAATAGATAATGAAATACACCAAAATTTAAACTAAGCTCAAACGTTCAGAAGCAGAGGACCTGCCCTAGATACATGCATGCAAGTACAAACGTCATCGTTTTATTTTATTATACAGTAGAGTACAGTACTGTATTTTTTCAATCCTAAGAGAAAATTAAATAATAAAATGGTATTATAAGGTGATTATGTATGTGCTGTAAAAAACAAAGAAACATAAATGAATCTTTTATATGCCCATTGCCCATGAGCAGGCAACAGCTTTGCATGAAAGCAACATTTGACTGATGACAATCGCAAGACTCTGGTTTGGCGAAATTGACATTGACACTACCAACCTACCTTCTCTCCCTTGGTTGGCTGGCTGAGGCTGAGGTTGGGAGCCATATACAATACAAATTATGGTGCGTCATGTTTTAGAACTTTAGACTTCCCGCACACGTTGGATAAAAGCCCGCCGACAATAATTAAAGATATTAATTGTCCCTCTTACCTAAGCTTCTAGTACTAACTATTATTATCATCTTCAATACCTCAATTAATTGAAAAGAATTTTAAGACGAATAGACAAAAGGTATAATTTATGACTACAAATTTCATTCTGAAATCAACGTGGCGTACATGACTACAAATTTCGTAATATTTGTTCTCAACTAGCATGTATTTTGGTTTGAAGTTGAGCACTGTATAATTTTTCTCATCAATTGTTATTCACACTTTCAGTTTGTCATTCTGCACGTTAAATTTTATATTAGTCGGATGACAAACTGATAACATTGCCCTATTTCTTTTGACTCTAGACAATAATTGGTCACAAAAGGACAATCGCAGTTAATACCTATAACACGTGACACGCTTTGAGAAGAATAGTAATGCGATCATTTACTTTTCTACTACCAATTAACAATTGTCTTCTAGTTTGGGGAACACACAAATGATATTTAAGAGTGAAGACTTGGTTTGATAACCCAATTCATAGCGAACCAAACAAGCCTTGGACAGCTGTGATATTATGTACATGGGATTTGAACCCTCTCTCTGCCTTTCCCTTTACCTTCTAATACCTCACAACCGCGTAGAAAAAGATTTGGATTCCCAACTTCACAAGGCCTTCTAATTGGATTGGAGAGCAACCCCAAAAAAGAAAGAAAAAACTTAAGCTTGGAGAAATGAACATCATCTTTATTAGCTGTCTTTGGTCCCCACTCTCATATAAACCCAAGCCAAGTCAACCCAAATCTCTTAAGCAAACGCATGCATATTTCCCAACCACTTCAACACCACCACCACCACAACTGATCGATCATTGCCTACTAGCCTAGCCTAGCCCTACTACTTCTCCCATACTCTCCCACACCCATCAAACCACTATATATACCCCTCTCCATTCCCATGCATTTCATCAAACACCTCTCTCTCTTGCCTTCCCATTTCCTCAATTCGACCAACCAAACCATGACTAAGATATTCTTAGTTCTAGTACTTCTGCAAACTTTGTTCAACATTTTGGTTGTGGCTTCGGCTGGTAACCTCAACCAAGATTTTGACATAACATGGGGTGACGGTCGAGCGCAAATACTCGACAACGGGCAGCTTCTTACGCTGTCCCTGGACAAGACTTCGGGGTCAGGTTTCAAGTCCAAGAATCAGTACTTGTTTGGGAAAATTGATATGCAGATCAAGCTTGTGCCTGGTAACTCTGCTGGTACTGTTACGGCTTACTATGTGAGTAGTTCATCATGTATAATTTAGCTGCTTTCCTAATTCTGATTTTTATATACGTAATACATCATATCCATATCATGCATGTCTAATGTTTTTATATGTGTGAATTTTGCAGCTGTCCTCGTTGGGTTCTACTCATGATGAGATAGATTTTGAGTTTCTAGGCAACCTAAGCGGAGATCCTTATATTCTACACACAAATGTTTTCACACAAGGGAAGGGTAATAGGGAGCAACAATTCTATCTTTGGTTTGATCCCACCAAAGACTTCCACACCTATTCCATCTTGTGGAACCCTCAAAGCATCATGTAATTAAACTAAAGCTCTCTCTCTCTCTCTCTCTCATTTTGACTTGTTAAAACTATTTGTATCATATTTACTGATAACATGTCTCATTGAATAAGACCTCGATGAGATTCAGTTATGTAGTTAGTAAATGAATTTCATATTTGCGAGACATGTAATTAGTGATATAGTCTGTTTTCACACAAGGGAAGGGTAATAGGGAGCAACAATTCTATCTTTGGTTTGATCCCACCAAAGACTTCCACACCTATTCCATCTTGTGGAACCCTCAAAGCATCATGTAATTAAACTAAAGCTCTCTCTCTCTCTCTCTCTCATTTTGACTTGTTAAAACTATTTGTATCATACTTACTGATAACATGTCTCACTGAATAAGACCTCGATGAGATTCAGTTATGTAGTTAGTAAATGAATTTCATCTTTGCGAGGCATGTAATTAGTGATATAGTTAGTACATATGGTACATATAACATAGGAAATATTCTCTTCAAAACATAAGATGATTATTTTGCTAGTAAATCTGAACCTTTGATCATGTTGATTTTTTGTATGAATATTTACGGTTTAATTTTAGTCTGACAATACAACATTAGCCCATTTAGAATTACTCAATATTTGTTTGTATGTATCCTAATAAACTTCTATGCTTTGTTCTTCTTGATTAATTAGATTCTCTGTGGATGGGACACCCATTAGACAGTTCAAGAATTTAGAATCGAAGGGAATTCCTTTCCCAAAGAACCAAGCCATGTCAATATACTCAAGCCTGTGGAATGCAGATGATTGGGCCACACGTGGAGGGCTTGTGAAGGCAGATTGGAGTAAAGCCCCATTTACAGCCTCATACAGAAACTTCAACGCCCAAGCTTGCACTTGGTCTTCAGGCTCTTCCCACTGTTCTTCTTCCAGTTCCTCAAGCTCCCCCAGCTGGTTGAGTCAGTCACTGGATGCAACTGGCCAAGAAAGAATCAAATGGGTTCAGAAGAACTACATGATTTACAACTATTGCAGAGATACCAAGCGCTTCCCACAAGGGTTTCCAGCTGAGTGCTCATTGGCATGATCACTTCATTGATTTCCTCCTCTCCACATAAAAGGACTAGGGATGCTATTTGTATTTAAGTTTTATTTGTTTGCAGCAATTTTAACATCGCTACACAACCAATAAATAGATTACGAGGTTTTTGTAACATAACATATTTGAGTTAGGCTAGTTGGCCACTACAGTGTGTTGCATCAAATGGGTTCAGAAGAACTACATGATTTACAACTATTGCAGAGATACCAAGCGCTTCCCACAAGGGTTTCCAGCTGAGTGCTCATTGGCATGATCACTTCATTGATTTCCTCCTCTCCACATAAAAGGACTAGGGATGCTATTTGTATTTAAGTTTTATTTGTTTGCAGCAATTTTAACATCGCTACACAACCAATAAATAGATTACGAGGTTTTTGTAACATAACATATGTGAGTTAGGCTAGTTGGCCACTACAGTGTGTTGTCCATTTGCAAATTTTATTCTCAAAGTAAAAAGAAGCACTACCTAATAACTATTTGAGCTTTCTGTGAATTGGTAACCTAAGTTGGTAAACATTTATCACCAAATTTCGAGGTTGAAAGATAGCTCACAATATTATTCTAAAAACTCTGCTAGCACCAAATAACAACATCATAACAATATCCTACTGAGAAGAACAAAACCAAATCAAATCCTAATCAACAAACTAACACCCACATATTTGCCAATCCTATTATGATTATTTGGTGATTACCAATTTCCCCAAGCAAATAGCCAGTACATGCCTACATGTTGCATGGCTTATGCATGTGACGACTATGAGTTATGCTGCCATGATGAACACAAACATTGGCCCGACACACAACACTAAGTAATTGAACTCTAGAACCATATAAATTGAAAACACATACAAGACACAAAATACTTGAATCATAACACCACAATTTGAAGCATTGAATATTACAAGACAATTGGTACAGAAGAGAACAGTAAATCCTACACATTGAAATACAGGGACCCAAGAAATATGCAGTTATGCTAATAGAATCCTGATTAGTCTTCTTGACATGCAACAACTGTTTTACCTATCAGTCATCACATCAAATTTCTGTGATGTTAAAATTTCTTCTTCCTAGTATCCACATATTACAAGCCCTCTCAACATTCAAAAGGACTGAAACAACTGGGGACACTGATACCTAGCATTCATGTTCCAAACCCACTCAAGAGTACCCAAAAAAAAAAAGACCGACCATAGAGTTGGATCATATTAGTCCTCATACATAAAAAATATTGTCAGTATTCAAACATAATGCAGGGAAGCGGTGCTTTCAGCTTTGGCCTTCATAAGTATAATGACTTAAATCCTATATACGTCCTTTTGTAAAACCAAAAATTTGCATAGCCGCTTAGCATCCCACAATGACATTTTTGACAAGACCATTTTTTGTACACATATTTCTGAGAGGAACATGATCAAGACAAGTGCTGAAAATTGTGTGCACATGTTGTCAAGGAGTTTCTCCAAAAGTGAGTGAAAATATGCTGCAAACACTGTAGGAAAAAGGCATCTCCCTAGAAGCATGACAAAAGCAATACTATTTTGCTACAACTGGAATCAATTTTGTTATCTTCCCCTAAGTGCAAAACCAGAAACATTAGAATCTCTCTCAAGTGCAAATCATATATTTCCAAAGATCTACTTTCAGCAAGAAGTACACGGGAATCGATTTCTGTGATTCAAATTTCAATATACCTTATCAGTATTTGTTAATAAGGGAGAAGTGATTTGTAAAGATTCCTAACCTTATCCCATCTAATCATCCTAATTCTCCAGAACACATGCCCCCCCTGTAATAGATGCAGGGTGACCAGAAAAAATATATAGTATAAAAGAGTGGACCCGCAACACTCAGACTGGATGCACATAAGTGTACAGATTTAGCTGTTTCAAAGATTTGTTTAATCAGGCTGGTAGCTAAAAACCAAGTACAAATATATGCAGTTTGATAGACCATAGATCTATGAGCATGGTGAAAAGGAAAAGAGTTCAATATTTATTCCTCACAATGTTGAAGACAGACACATGTCACTCTTATTTCACTCCTCTTGAACTGGAAAACACAAAGGAAAAGTTACTTCAAGAAGAATATCTTCGACCACAATCTACATGCATGGCAACGTAGTTCATGACACTAATATGCTACATGTCCCTTTAAGTCTATCACCTCTAACATAAGAACTGAAAAATTAGTAAAATTAAAAATGCAGCAAATAAACAAGGCGGTCTTTGTCTTTTCGTCTACCTAATATAAATCTACCACAGACAAAAGGGAGGCAACTAAAATCTAAGAAAAATATCACAGCCATTTGAAGAGTAAAACATCCACAGATGATTAATAGACTAGAACATCAGGAGGCAGTGTGTTCTTGAGAAAGTTAGTAACATAGTATCAAACAAAGGAATATGCCAATGCATCATTTCATTCAATTTGAAGAATAAACCAATATCAATGTCAGAATTAACTTTATAAATAAACCCAATAAAACATAGGAGACAAGAAAAAGCACAAATGGGGCAATCATTAAAGTTGTGTATGAAAAACAAACACAGGACAAATTTTTTCAGCTAAAAAATGATAATACAAAATTGATCTCTTCTAAGTAGGGCGAGATTTTAGCTTCTTTATGCGTTTGATAGCCTTCCGTGCCTTCTTGGCAGTAACAACTCTTACCATTTTCACCTTTTTGGTAGGGAGAGGCATTTCCCTAATGGGACCTGGAGGTACTCCTTTCTTAAGTGCACTTCCTCTAGGCGTAGCAGAAGGAGGCACTCTTAAATCTTGTGGAGGTAAAGGGCTTTGGGGCTTCCACACCAAATTACTTTTCATGGAAAACTTTACCTTCTTTGCACTCTTCTCCCCACTCTTTGCATTGGTGCCACCCTCAACATCTTCTTCAACAGCTTTCTTCACTCTCTTTCTCTTCTTAGAGACAGGGCCCTTATCTGAAGCTGTAGGCAAATCACAGGCACTTGGAACATCACCATCCAAGCCTGCTTCAGCAGCAATCTTCTCAAACTGCATCTGAAGGTTTGATATCACATTATCATCAAGTTTAACTGCATTTTCATCAGTAGCCTGTTGATTATCTGAACTCTCACCATTTGCAACTACGTTCTCATTCTCCCTATCCGTAGAGCTCTTTTCAGAGTCAGAATCCAAATTCCCATTCTCCTTCTTATTCTTCTTTTTCTTCTTCTTTTTCTTCTCTGCCTTTGTATCAGCAGCACCAGTGTCCTTTTCACGCTTCTTACACTTCTTCAAAAGCTTTCCAGCAGAGCCATTGACCATGACAACCTCACCAGGTTCTGAGTTTCCAACTTCCATCTCCTCACCTGCAAGAGGAACCAAAGTCGGCACTACCTCATCATCATTGTAAACAACATCAGGAATAGAAATCTCAATCCCAGAAGATTCCAACTCTTTTTCCAACTTTAGAAACTCCTCGTGCAAGCCAAATAACACCTTCCTATTTCCCTGACAGCATTCAGGTGAAGAGCCCAACTCATAAAACTTGCTCGAAAACCCCATCGTCAACGAAATTGACCCAAAGACCATAACTTCATCACCCGAACCCACATCCTCCCCCAATTTCTTAACCTCCAACAGCCTCTTCCCCGCCCCCAGCAAAGCATCAAACATATTACTCCTAATCTTCCCCAACAAGACTTTATCAGGAACTTTAGCTGAAACACGAATAAAACTCACTAAAACAACCTCAAGAACTTCAGCCTTAAGCGGAAGATACGGCCTAAGCTCTTCAAGAAAAACAGAGGCAATGTGGTAATTAACACCATTACCTAGAAACTTATCGTCAGCGAAAAAAGTCACCTCTTCCAACACACCCATCAAACGTTTCACCAGCTCCAAATCCCACAAATTATTTCTCATCAAAGCAAAGAAACTAGCCATAAATCTGCGAATCAAAAGGTAGAACTTGTCTAACCTCAAGGCATCGATGCCGGACCACTCGCGGCGCATAGTGAGCAAAAAGGCCGAGAAGTAATGGATGGAAAGAGGGAGATGGAGGCTGAGGACCAAAGAGGAAAGTCGATCGATGAGCTGGGTCTGAACCGGGACCTTGTCTGCGTGCCATATGCAGTAGAAGAGGCCTTTCCAGAGCTTCTTCATGTGGTCGTCATGGAGATTGAGTTGGGTTGGCAGCCATGTCTTGAGGAGGACCCTGAGTGCTCTGTCTCGGCCGCTCTTGTTGCATGAAGCGAGTTGCTTTATCAGTGACAAGCCTGCTTCTGTTGCAGTCTCGGCCTCCATGTTTGAGCTTTGATTCTGTATTTCAAGATTCTGAGACGCCTGCATAAATAGCGCACAGCTGTAGGTGGCTGGTGAAGGGTGAAGGGTGAAGGACTGAACGGTTAAACAAACCCTAGGTAGCGAATTTTGGGATACAAACGAGGAAGAGGCTTGGGAATGGGCCGACGATTATCTCAATCTCAATTGGCTTTCGTCAAGTTTCAGGCCCATTTAGTCAAAGGATTTCGCAAAGTATCTTTCACCCTGAAGACCAACGTATACTATATATATCACTTTTTGAGACCGACGTATATATATCTATACTTACTAGGAATGGGAATTCATGAATTGAATTGGAAACCTAGTGATAAAAGGGAAATTGGAATAATTTCATTATCTATTTCTGATTCTGATAAGTAAACATGGTATTTACTTTGAAAATAATAAGTATGCTCTATTAATGGGGTCTAGCTCAATGAGAAAGGACATTGATTTATTTTCAATTAGGGTGGTTCCAGGAGAAAACCCCTAGATCGAAGGTGTAATCAAATGTTGGTTTCTTTTAGGCTTCGAGGATAAAAGTGAAGAGAAAAGAAAAAGGAGAAAAGAACCCACATGGCTCTTATTTAAGTTTAGGGTAAATTACTCAAATGGTCCTCAAACTTATACTCGATTTACATTTTGGTCCCTCAATTAAATTATTCATTCAAATGGTCCATCAACTCTATATTAATTGCTCCATTGATCCTACCGTTATATTATGTTAATGTTGCCGTCAAATGTAAGGGTAAAACTGTCCTATGTTCCCCAAATAGATGATAAAGTGGTGATACATAGGTGACAAAGTGGTGATACATAGGTGATACAGTGGTGATAAAGGGGTGATACATGGGTCAAAAGTCTTATTTACCCCCACAAATGTAGCATGTGCTGCTCACATGACCAAATTTAACAGAAAATGTAACGGTATGACCAAAGCGCCAATTAATAAAGAGTTGGTAGACCATTTGAACAAATAATTTAGTTTAGGGACCAAAATGTAAATCAGGTACAAATTTGAGAACTATTTGAGTAATTTACCCTTAAGTTTACTATTTGTCATTCATACAAATTGAAATCATGCGTAGTGTTGTTATTAAACGCTAAATTAGAAAACCTCAAGATTAATAATGAAAGACACACAAAGCACGTAAAGTTTAAAAACTGTAGTTGCTCTCTCTCTCTCTCTTTGTGAGAAGAAAAACTCCATAAAGGAGGAGAAGTGTCACTAGCCCTCCCCACCACCCCTATATCTTCTTTCCATTTTTCTTTTGTGTTAGTGAATAAATCCACTTGGGCCATTTTGAATAAGAAGCCTCTTGTGGTGATTTCTTCTAATTCTAAATCATGCTCAAATTGAAGTTCCCAATCACCTCTTTTGAGCTATGTTCTCAATCAAATTCTTCCCTCAAAACGTGCTCTTTAACATTGCTCGTGCTCTCTAAATTTGGTACTATATCATATTTGACAGAGGTTGCTGCAAATCACTCAATTGTTCTTTGTCAGGGTTGTTGTTGTTTTGTCAGGGTTCTTCATGTGGTGGTGATTTTTTTTTTTTTTTTTTATGGTGGTGGTAGAGTTTAGCTAAGCTCCTATGTTGCTTTATGGTTTCGGTTATGTTAGGTTTGTGAGCTAATAGTTTTAGTGCAGCTTTTGTTTGCTTTAGTAGTTTTTAGCATGTTAGGGCTCGTTTGGTACGTCGGATTGTCCTAACTAATTTATGTTGGATGGTATTAATTTGTTTCATAGAGTACTAACTATTTATCTATAATATTATAAGGCGTTTGGTGTTATTCCGAATAAATAGAATAACTAAGTTATAATGTGTTTGGTGCTCCGTTGGATAACAGTGGATTAGGCTACATGATCTTGAAAAATCATATAGACTAACATGGACACTCCATCATTTGCTTCCTCTTGCACCCTTCTTTCCTCCACAATTATAATATCTCTACTCATCAATATCTTTTTTCTTTTTTAATACACTGCCAAGTTTTCAAGAATGAAAGTAATCCCCTCTATGTGGTCTTGAACCCTATCATTGATGTTGTTCAGTGCTTAACTCCATGAGCATGAAATCCTCCTTTTGAAATTGAAATTGGCTAGTCATAGTTGCTGTGTTGGTCTCCTTCGACCCTCCTTTTGAAATTGAAATTGAAATCCTCTTTTTCGCCCTTCCAGCACGCTTTCTCATAGTTGTTGCGTTGTTGCGTAGGTCTGCTTTGGAAATTGGAATTCACTGGAGTAGTAATCAGTTGCCGATCAACCCATGATAGAGATATATGACCCAGAAAAAAAAAAACCGTGAGAGAAAGAAAAATATATGAGGAGAAGATAGTAGAGAAGAACCTTAAGGAGAAGAAGATGAAAAAAGCGTATGATTTTTCATGTATAAAGCATGTTTTCTTTTTTAGTGCTGCTAAAATTAACTAAGTACATCATGCTACCAAACTATTTATTGAATTACTAATTTACCTTAATATAAAATGGCCATAAAGGATATATTGAATTGTGAAACAAATATAATTTTAATAAGTACACCTTACTCACAATATTCAACCCTAATCAAAAGTAGAGAAGTTTTGTTGGGTTAAGCAGCAAGTTCGGCAACGATGGGGTATATTTTGTTAAAATATTTTGCAAATTAGCTTCAATACTTAATTACTTTAAGTATCTAACGTTTATGTTTTATTGACCGACTAGCTGTAAACGGAAGAGAACCATGTCTGATAATTTTAACGAACATGAAAAGTCTTCTGCCAGCACCCAAGTTAAGGAGATCCAGGCAATTCTTGGCGCTGAATACCCCATCGTTGTTAAGTCTATGATACGTTCAAATATTTCCTCTTGATTTTGTCTGACAGTAACGCTAGAAAATCTATGATGGAGAAAATGGGAGATGGGATATTCACTTATACATTATAGATGTCACATCTCAATTTTTTTTTAATTATTGAGAGTGTGAGGTAAAAGAAAAACTAAAATTTAAAATTTAAATCGCAAGAAACAAGAGAACTAAACATAAACTTCTATTTAAACCAAAATAATTTACATTGTAATTTTACAAGCAAAATTTCAGGAAAGTACAGACTTTTAACCAAACATCCAAAACTATCTGCAACTTGTTCTTCTTGTTTCCTCATCACAACTAAATTCTAGATTCAAAACCTGCAATAAATTCATTAAGGGGTGAGCACTACATGCTCAGTAGGGGTCCTATGTCTTATGTGATTAGTGAGATTTTTAATATACAATTTATGCAATGCATGAATGATCTTCAATTCTACCCAACCCGTTAATCTATATAATAGGGCAAGCTAATCTGCATGTCCCATACTATGCATTTTACCACTGTGATTCCGAATGCCCCATTATATAACCTAACACCCATATCAATTATCCCATAATTCCCCTTTTGCTAGTCATCCTGTCCATATATAATTCCCCTTTTGCTAGTCATCTTGTCCATACCATTGATCTCCAAGCCCAAATCACCCAATCGACAATTATACCGCCGATTTCCTAATCTACTATGCACACGGGCTCGCCTGAACTTGGTCCCTATAATGGTCAGACTCAACTACACAAAAGAACCTTCCCATTACCCTCTTTTCCATAATTTTTTTTATCAACCCAAAAATTCCAAACACCACTGACAACATATGAACATGCCAATATTAATTAAATTATAATGATAATTGACAACATGTAAACATCCAATATCAAGAATAATAATCAAATAATATTACCAAGCATAATATAGTGTTCACAATATTTAATTAAATCAATTTGTGTAAAGCCTCCCCAAGAAAAATCCCTACCTCAAATCCAAAGTTATTGTACAACTCCCAGATGAGCTTTTCCAAAATCTTACCACACTTAGTTTTCACTCTCTCTTTTTTTTTTTACGAATTTTAGGAAACTAACACAACTTTGAAGAACCTATGATTCAAGAACTATTAGGTAAGGCTATTTATAGTAAGCTAGAGTTGGCAAAAAATATATAGATATAGCTTAACATTGTGCCACATAACTAGTCTAGGGATTTCTAGACTACATCCTAGGGATTTCTAGACTACATGGGTGGCTTGAAAGTAAACTGCCACCCCAATTAACCTTAGGTGCTGGCTCTGGAGAGTGCTTAGTGAGCACTTTCCAATTACATTTATATATATAAGAATATCTATTGTTCTTACACATCATGCCAAAACATACCACCTCATGCTTTAATTATTTTTTGAAGACTCCATAATGCAACACGTCACTTTTTAAGAGAAAGCTTAGTATAAGCAACAAACACCCATCTAAAAGCTTTTGTAAAGTGTGTGTATAGAATAAATATTAAATGAATTGATATAGTTAAAGCCATACAATAAGGTTTTATAGGCTATAGCTAGATTCACGTGGCTTGCCATACAACTATGTATATATTATCAATTATATAGTTTTGAAAACTAATAATTATAATTAATTAATTTTATGAAATATTAATATACATATTTAAAAATATGGGGTTTCACAATAAATTAGCCATAGACTTCTCAAGATGGTGTATTCAGTTCAATAAGGAATGGAATGGATGTGATATTGGCTGAATATCCCATCGTTGTTAAGTCTATGATACGTTCAAATATTTCCTCTTGGTTTTTTTTATTTTTTTTGTCAGAATTGAGTTTTATTCAAAAGAAGGCCAAAGCCAATTACACAAACGTTGAACCCCAAAAATGAGTTCAACCAAATGCAATACAAAAGGCATAGAGCCCACTATAGTCATTAAACTCACGAAAGGCATAAAGGCCACAAAACACAACACACACTTAGGAAATCATAAGACAAAGAATAGAGAAATGTTGCACCACCCAAAACCCACAAGCCATGCCTTCAACGGAAGACCACCACCAACAAAAAGAAACTAGTAACCAAAGCTACAAACAGAAAATGGTGATGGACAAGGCACCAAAGCTACAAAGAGCGTTACCAAACTCTAAGCAATAACTGACACAAATACTTTAAAAACATCCTCCACCCGTGGAGTAGAGGAGCAAATGATGGTGGTGGAGAACAAACGCCAAGGCGCAGCCACCGACGATGAGTGGAGAAAATACATAGCATGTAAACACATGAACATAAAAACAAAGTCGATGACGCCGAAACCACCACAATCGTCGCCCATTCTGCTATTGCCACTATTGTCACCA